TTCTGAGTCAACAGCAATGAGTTATGAGTTTCTTCATCTATTAAATGTAGATGATTCCGCACAAAGTCTTACATATGATGAGCAACTAGGAGCTAGGAGCTGTTCTTCCCCTTCCCCTTGATTAATTTTAATGGAAGTTTACAGAGACTTTGAATTTCCATTCATACTTTGTTGCACTTTTCTCCCTGCCCAACCTCCTCCCCAATTCGCTCTTCTCTTTGAAGAGTAAAAGAAAAATTCTTTCATTGGTATACAATCCTCCCCCCAACTCCACTCCACTGTGCAGCCTTCAATCTGGACTCCTGCCATGACAATAATCCAATCATATATCCCTTTTAAACAGTTCGCTCCCTCATGTTTCAATGCAGTGTACATCATTCCTCCCCTCCTCCTCTGTCTTCCCTCAACCCTGATGTCAGTCCCATTTTACAACAGTAGCCCTATGAAGTATTTGTCCTTTTTGTGACTTATTGCCATTTTTGAAAAATGGGAAGCAGAGGCTTGCTACACCCAGAACCCTTTGCTCTGACATGACAAACCTCTTGCTCTGACATGACAACTTATCTTGCGAGCTATGTTCTGTCTCTTACCTGGCAATACCTTGATACCTGGCCTATCTGTCAGATCACCTCTCACAGATTCAGTAGATTCTAAAGCAGGCGCAAAATACAGGAGAAGGGTCCAGGCAAACACAACTGGTAGACGATTACCCTTGAAGATGTCAGAAAGGATGGAAAATGCCCATCTTAGTCAATGGTGAGCTCCACGTCTGAGGAAGCAGAATTACTATCTCTTGAAAACACTTTTCAAACTCCCTGAGGCAGCTAACTGGCAGAAATATGAGCAGAAGGAGGATTTGCCAATTTCTAAAGCCAATTGCTGAATTTATTTCTCAGGGCCAAAGAAGTCCTGGTTCTGTTGTTTGGTGCCGTCAAGTCAACTACAGCTAATGGCCATCTGGTGAGCAACAGGTCGGAGACGTGCCCTGTGCTTCACCGTCTCAGAAATACTAAAGCACTTGTTAATAATAACTGTGCTAATCTGTCTTGTTGAGGGCCTTTCTCTCTTTCTCTGACCCACCACGTTTTCCAGCATGATGTCCTTTTCCAAAGACTAGCGTCTCCTGACAACAGGTCCAAAGTACGTGAGATAAACTTTCATCATCCTTGTCTCTAAAAAGCATCCTGGTTGTCCTTTCTCTAAGACAAACATGCTTGTCATTTTGACAGAATATCCCATGGGATAGTCAACACTCTTCTCCAGCGCCACAACTCAAAACCATCAATCCTTCTTCTGTCATTCTTATTTTTCATCCAACTATCAGATGCACACAAAGCACCTTTTAAATGGTTTCCAGTAGTTTACTTCAGATTGTAATGCTTTTCAAAGTATTCATATCCAAATGGTACCTTCACACTCCCACTCTGCAGTCATATTTACCAAAATAAATGTATCTCCTGATTTTATTACACATTTGGGTACATGGAGCTCTGTGGAGATGAGTTACATTACTATCCTAAAACATGAAGTTCAAATCCACCAAGGAACCAACGCAGCGGGTCAACTATAGTTTGATTTTTTGACTGAACAGCACAAAACTACAATGTGGGTGCTTGAAGTAAAAAAGAGAGGGTGATTGCACAAATTTTTGTACAAAGTATTTGTAACACTTTCATCTGCAAAAAAGAAATTATTTATTCCAAGTGACTGTAGTGACCAATTGAAACTACAGTAGTCTGAACTATTCACAAAATAATAACATCATTAAATGGGGGTTATTATAATTTTTCATGTTAATATAAAGAACTGAAACTAAATGTAACTTATGAAGCTGAAGAATCAACACAGACGGTGGAAGGGCTTTAAATGCGGAGTGCATAAATTTGGGTACTGCCACTTCCTGTCTGCCCTTAGATGTATTCATTAATTCTGGGACTTAGTTTCCTTTTGTCTAAAGTATAGATGCCAACAAGTATCAGAGATGCCAAGATCACTATTTTCTCCTTCTCCTCCCCATGATATAGTGTAAAAAAAAAAAAACCCTATAGATGTTTTTAGCAATTCAATATTGCTAAAGTCCCATATATCGCAACTGATCACTGGCATACCCAAGCTGCTTGTACTTCTCAACCACCTTTTAAAATTATGTCTAGTCCAATTCTAATCATTAAAGTAGCTAAAAAGGTACAATAACTAGAACACGACTTCAGCTCTGTGATCACGTCTGCATGATTTTGTTCTTGAGGCATCAAACACAATCTATTTTGACTCACACTGACCCTCCATCAGGTTGCAAATCTCTGTGGAAGGAAAGTATCTAACTTTTGTGGAGCTCCTGGTGAGGTCAGATCACTGCCTTTTTGGTTAGCTGCACAACACATGGCACACGGCCCTACCAGGGGACTTCATAGTTGAGGCATATTATTGTTATCTGCCATCGAGTTAACTGCAACTCATTGTGACCCTATGAACAACAGATCTGAATCTTCCCTTAGCTTGTGTCGTCCTCATTCTCTTCAATAAGAGCCAATTGTTAGAGTCATTGTGTCAATCCATCTTGTTGAAGGGCCTCCTTGCCTGTGATTAATCTTCACTATTCCAAACATGATGTCCTTCCCCAAGAACTGGCTTCTCCTAACAGCATGCTCAAAGTACGTGAGATGAAGCTTCACCATTCTTGTTTCCAAGGAGCACGCTGACCACATTTTCTCCAAGACAGATTCTTTTGTTCTATTGGCAGGCCAAGGGTTATTCAGTACCTTTCTCCAGCACCACTACTCAAGTACATTGATTCTTTTTCTGGTCTTTTTAGTCATTACCCAACTTTGAGATGCAAAAGATTATTGGAAAGATCATGCCTTGGATCAGGTGCACCTTTGTCTTTAAACTGACACCATCGCTCTTTGACACTTTGGAGAGGTGCTTGACAGCAGATTTTTCCCAATGCAATGTTGTCATTTGTTGTCTTCACTGCGATTACCAAGGGTATTGATTGTGGATCCAAGAAAGATGAAAGTTTTGAAAATGTTCATCTTTCTTCCATCTATTATGGTGTTGCCTATTGGCCCAGTGGTGAGGATTTTTGTCTTATTGAAGTTGAGATGGAATCCATACTGGAAGCTGTAGTATTTGGTCTTCTGCAGCAAATGCTTCAAGTTCTTCTCACTTTCAGCAAGTCAAGTTTTGTCATCTGCATATTTTAGGTATAATAGTATGTTTTACACAAAAAGTAGCACCAAACAAAGTTATGAGGGGTTTATTTCTTTATTTTAACATGCCACATATCAGAGTTCAATGAAAAATTCAGCAAAAATACAGATGTCTGTCGTGTAAATAGGATGGCCAATCTCCTCTCACGCAATTTATTGCCTCTGAAAGTCTGCTTGAGGGTCAGTTGTGGGGCAGTTCTGACTCAACGGTACACAACAACTACATGGTTTAAATAAGGAGCCCTTGGCACATGGTGGCTAAAATGCTTAGCTGCTCACCTCAAGGATGATGTTTCTAACCCTTCAGCTGCTCTTCAGGAGAAATATAAGACATCTGCTTCTGTAAAGATTCACAGCCTCCCAAACCATGTGGGCCCTTTATACTCTACTATACGGTTGCTCTGAGTCTGAATCCATTTAACAGCAGTTGATTTATGGTATGAATGTTCATATGAAATATTAAAAACACTTTTAAGCATTTTTTGAAAACTACATTAAAAGCAGTTTCATTCTTACTTTCTTTTTCTTTTTTTTGTGTTTTACTGTATTTTAAAAATTGTATTTACTCTTCATTTTTAGGATTTTGAAAAATATGGGAGAGAATGAGTGATTTAAATTTATGAAAAGGACATCAAGAGATGAAAAGATCTGCAGGGCTTTTATTGTTTGTCAAGTACAAATTCTCAGTGGAAAATATATTAATAAATGAGAAATGCTCTGAAAAGTAAAAAAAAAAAACAAAACACAAAAAAACAAACCAAAAATCACACAATAACAACAGTACCCCAAACCGGGAACTTTCTCATTAATAACTGTATGCTTACTACTTTGAATTAATGATATTTTTATATTTTGTGTTAAGTAAACTACACAATTCAAATTAAAAAAGTAGTTTCAGACTTTAATACAGACATCGTCCATCTTATTTAACAGGTAGCAGTCTCTTCAAGAAAAAAATGCACTGGTAAATTTTAGTTTCATAGTTTTAAGAAAACACCAAATATTGAGTCTAGCCTTGCCTGCTGAATCATCTCTGATATGACTCATTCATGACGAGACACCCACCATTCCCAAGTGATTATAAGGATCGCATTTAAGAAAGTCAAAGAAGAAAGCCCACTGTATCTCCTATCTTTGTATATGTTACATGGCAAATGACTTCCATTAAATAAAATATCTTCTGATGCTCAGCATTTAGAAAAGATAAAGAAGTGAAGTTGCTCATTAGAGTATTTGAGAAGGGGATCCCCAGAGTCACTGAGTTTTTATTTACTTTAAAATTTATTTTCATTCAATCACTTGTACATATTTAATTTTGTAACATTAATCATAATTATTTAATATTCAGTAGCTTGCATTTCAAAATTTTTCTAAACATGCATAATTTGATTTTTTAAATATTTTGTTCTTTATCCATTCCTCCTTCTTAGCTCTTTATAATAGTAGTCATGTACCATGATTGCCTTTTTGTGAATGACTTATATCACTCAGCGCAATTTGTTCTCGATTCATCCATGTTGCGCAGTATTTCACAAATCCTGTTCATTTTTAAGTGATGTATACTGCTCTTCTGTGTAAATGTTGTCACATAATTGATGGGTACTTCAGTTGTTTCCAACTCTTCACTATTATAAACAATAGTGCTGCATAGTGGAGTGGACCCTGGGGGGAGGGATTATATAGAATTTTTCTTTTACTTTTGAAAGAGAAGAGTGAACTGGGGGGGGCGGGG